TAAGGATATAATAAAAAAGGCTTAAACACTAATATTCCATGGTCATAATTTATATATATATATATATATATATATATATATATATATATATATATATATATATATATATACACACAAGCAAATTTTTTGGACTCTTATTTAAAACAAAGCAAACTGTCGTTTTATTATTTGAACAAAACACAGTAATTTTATCCTGGTATGAAATTATATATGAAGGAAAATTTTTCCCAATGGACCACAATAACGAAACAGTTTTTATTTATTTTTTTTTATTTTCAGAGTCAAGAAATAGTACATATTCCAGAATTTAAGAATTGAGGAATTTAACGGTAAAATACAACGGTAAAATAAATATATGTGTCGCAAAAACGCCGATAATTAACTTCCGCCTCTGGCTGTTTATTAACTGCAAAAAAAAAGTATTTCATTATACAAAAAATAATTTTCTTTTACAAAAATCTATTTTTTTGTTTTATTTAAGTGGTGAATATTAATCAAAATTTTTTAATGCTATGCAGCAAAAATTTCAAATTAAACGGGCTAATTTATCTATAGAACTCATGGTGGCTTCTTTGTTTCACGTTTTCCCCTGACATTGATAAGTCCACTGCTAGGTACTTTGACTTCTTGAATAGTACAAGATAATCTTTCTAGTCAGTATCCATCTTGCACATTTATAAATATACCATTCATCTGTGCATTGAATATACTTGACATATCTGGTTTGGATTTCACGATATATATATATATATATATATATATATATATATATATATATATATATATATATATAAAGACGATGAGGATCTGACAACGCGTATGAGGATCTGACAACGTAATTGAATTAGTTATGAAATTTTGTGCCATGACATAATCTTAAGTGGCACTTAAGATCCGCTCGTGATTTACAAAGGAAGCTACATATGGAGCAAGATTATGGATTGTAGGATGAGATCACTGTTATTTTGGCTGACCTTTTAGGTCTTGCTCTCGCTTCTTGAAGACGATTCAGACAAGCTGATTGAAAACTACTGAGTCCACTAAATCACGTTGATCTCCATTCTACTCCATTCATCAATAATGAATCGTAACTAAAAATCGGAAGCTCATGAAGTATTGAAATGAAGTTCAAATATATATATATATATATATATATATATATATATATATATATATATTTTTAGAAGCGACAGGCTGTTTCATGCTAGACGCAATCGTCAGGCCACAAGTGCTGTTATTTTTCTCGGCTATTTATTTATACGGGTCAGTGGTGCATTGTGGGTAGTCTGTTTTGCCGGTTATTTTACCGGAAGTCATTTAGTTGTTTATTTATTTATTTGGGTTATTTTGCTTGTTTTTATTTATTTTTATTTTATTTTTTTATTTCTTATCTTATATATTTATTTTTATTTCTTATCTTATATATTTATTTTTATTTTAATCGGTGTTTTTATTAACGTAGTAAAATGTGTTTATATCGCTTAGTTTTGTTTTGCTTTGGGAAGTTAATTAACGCTATATGTTCAATTTTGGGGTTGATTTTTGCAGTTATATCATTATCGTTATATAACAGTTTTAGATATTTTTTCGTCCAATTTTTGGTTTGATTTTTATAGCCTAACTAATATTTTGGTCACAATGGTTTGTTAATTTGTTTATTATTTACTTTATTTATTTGGGTTCATTGATTTTGTTTTTTTATTTTTATTTATTTTTTCTATTTCGTCTATTCTAATGGGTGTGATTTGGTAACTTGTTTGGGTTAATATATTTTGTTTATTTTATTATTTTGTTTATTTATTTATTTTTTTATATTATTTTATATTTTTCAGTTTTCTATTTTTAAGTAACTTAGTAAAAAAAAAAAATTCATGTCTGCATTTTGAGATAAGATCGGATCTTTTATTTAATAATTTATTTTTTTCTGGGAAGGTAAGGTAGCTATTTTTTCCTCCAAGCAGTTTGCAGGTTTTTGATTGGTTGTTGTAAGGTGATGAGCTTTTCCTTATTTTCCAAGATATTTTTGGTATGATATGCGTTTTGTTTTTAATTTCCCAGATATACTTAGAAAGCATTGTGCTGTTCACATATTTAACTATTTGTGAACGATGTTTTGTGTGCATAATTTCTTTGTTTCCAGGGTCGTTCAGTTACTCATATGTATACTTTTTCTTCATTGTCTGGTGATTTTATCGTGGCTTGGTATATTATGTTGTTTTGTAACAATTACCGTTTAAGGGACATTAGTTCTTTATTCTGCAGTCGCACGTGGGTTTAATTTTTTCGTGTGGTTTGTTGATAATTTTCCTGTTGTGTTTTTTATTATTTGTGCCATGTACTCGGTGCATCTGTAGCTGATTTTTACTGTTTTTTTGTTAAATATTCCGGGAAGTATTTGTGTAAGAGTTTGAAGAATATTTTTCTTACGATTGTTTTTAAGTTTTCGCTGTACGGTGGGTTGAACAATATGATATTTCTTTTCCTGTTGGCCTTTTTTTAT